AAAAATTGACGCCTTGACACCCTGCCCGTGAATATTTTGCAAAGGATTTTTAAAATTTAACTTCCAAATAACGCATACTCTCGCCTAGTGTCACAGTTTTGGGCCCCATTTTGCTATGGTTAGACAGGTTTATTCTTGTACATTGTCGGGATAAAAGAAGCATCTCCTTCATCCAAATTGACTTTTTCATACCTAATACAACAGCTCCCGGGCATCATCTCGCCTTAATTGTTTCTATTGAATTAATTTTAGTTACAAAAAATTAGATGATCGTCAAAATTGGCATAAAAAGATAATCAAGATTTAATTAAACAAGAATATGCACAAAAGAAAAGAGATAAACTCCGACACGGGAAACAAGGAAATATCGCTAAAACGGTCGATCGACTATTTGGTAGTACGGTTTTTATAATTCGACTTCATAAAACGAAGCTTTGATTTAACGCCCCTCCATATCTTCCAAAATATACGTAAGAGGGAAGGAACCACTTACTTTAACAATCTTGAAATTTTCGGGGTGTCCAATTAATTTCATAGCTTTTGCCAAAAACCGATTTTGTGCGACTTATGCTCACTGCATCGCCAGCTTTGAACTTTGACTTTTTCACTGCAAATTTTTTTTTGGTAAATTATAACGGAGAATCTCCGTTGTTGGGGTAATTTCTGAAGGTTTCATTCCGGTTGTACTATGTTTTGTTTCATTATATTTTGTTGTTATTCTTTTTTCTTTAATAAAGTTATTTTACGCAATTACTTGTTTTTTTTTTTTACTTTTTTTTATGGGGGTAAGGATAAAACATACACACACACTGAATTTTAAAAAACATTTATTATTATTAGTTTACAGGTAAATTTCTATTAAAACACAGGTATGTCCCATGCTATCCTTTGGTTGATATCTTGTTTTATCTGCATTTTTCCAAAACGCATGTAGTCCTCCATGCAGTAGCTCTGCTCACTCTCTTCTGTAGAACATAAATATTCTATATGCGGAAAGATTTTGGCGTCTTCCAGCAAATTTTCATGTATAGTCAAATACAATATTCTATCGTAGTACTCGTAAAAGTTCAAACGAGACAGTACTCGTATTCTTTTAAATACCAATTTGCTTATGGTAATTAATTCCTGTACCCAGTCTTTCGAAATATAGAGTATACCTTCGCTATTTTCAATCTTGACCAAGACTTCACCATCACATTGTAGACAGCTGAGTTTGAAGCATGTTAAATACATAACTTTACCAGTCGCTGCTAACAATAACAGTGGAAGCTGTTGTATTAATTCTGTGAAGTCTATCTCGTCGAACGAAATGCTTATTTTCTCCGACAAAGCGTAGGGGAGAAAGCTCATTTTCACTGCCGGAGCGAAGATTCTTGCTGGGCTAAGAACTGAGGTAATTTCTAGTCCGAATTCCGGCAGCGTAATTGCTGCCTCGTAAATGTATTTTTGTTCGTGGATTATTTCCGCATTGACCACAAATCTTCCCCACGAATCCATTGCTTGCGTTGGATAATTTTCTACTTCGGACATTTTTCTCACTCTGCACTTATCACAAAATTGTATGAGTGGAAATTGAATAAAAATTTAAATTTCTTATAGCTTATATATGTATAGCCCCCACCCGTTCCCCAGATCCAAAGCGAACGCCTCACATACTTGTTTCGACGGGAAAAAACCTGACGGAGAACCTCCATCCATCCCGCTTTTTTTTTTAGACAAGCTCTGACAAGATAAAAGTACGTATCAAATAATGCACCATTTTAAAAGTGGACATATTATCAATAGTGAAATAATTTATAAACTATTTATATTAAGATATACCTTTATCCTCTTTGCAAATAATTTTCTACTCGCTCACAGGTAGGATCATGGAGATCCTTCAATATTTTGTTGCACCAGGTATTTAGCTTAGCCTAGAATTCTTTTGAAAAATTATTATTATTTTTAAAAAAGGCGCGCGCTAGATCAGTTGCCGTTTTAGCGATATTTCCTTGTTTCCCGTGTCGGAGTTTATCTCTTTTCTTTTGTGCATATTCTTGTTTAATTAAATCTTGATTATCTTTTTATGCCAATTTTGACGATCATCTAATTTTTTGTAACTAAAATTAATTCAATAGAAACAATTAAGGCGAGATGATGCCCGGGAGCTGTTGTATTAGGTATGAAAAAGTCAATTTGGATGAAGGAGATGCTTCTTTTGTCCCGACAATGTACAAGAATAAACCTGTCTAACCATAGCAAAATGGGACCCAAAACTGTGACACTAGGCGAGAGTATGCGTTATTTGGAAGTTAAATTTTAAAAATCCTTTGCAAAATATTCACGGGCAAGGTGTCAAGGCGTCAGTGTCGGAGAAATAAGGGTTCTTCCCTTTTCTCCTCGTCTGTTTTTAACTCCGTTTTGAGTAATTTGTAATAATTTGAGAAAAAAAAATTCAGTACCCGAAAATGGACACACATTTGCAAGCAAAACAAAAAATAGGATATAAAAAAAACTATAAAATATAGGCGCCAATGCAGGCAATAGTTTAAATACGGGAAGTTACATTTTTAAACATAAATTCAGATTTTCGGTGGCAATATAACTCTATTTTTTGTGTTTGTTAAGATTTATATACATAATATCAAACCAGCCTTTGGAAACGTCTGGTTAATGGCCACAGGCCATTAGCTTCTAAATAAACGCGAGATATTATGAAAACCGAAAAAGTTTGAATGGAATCTAACGTTTTCTTTTGTTTCTCGAAGTAGTAATTAAGCGGAAAAGTACTCGTAGTATATTGATTAATTGTAGAAATGTCACATTTTCTACATAACAACTTAAGTTAAATAAAATGCAAATTAAATTATTAAAAATTACCGCTTTGTTGTTTTCGTTATTTACTATGCCTGAACCTACGACGACACTGGAGGGTAGCATAAATTTGACCTCCTTGGTTTACCTGCCTTTCGTAGGAATGCGGGTTGTTTCACGTGTCAGTCGAAGTTTAAAGAAGCGTTTGTGTTAAGGGTTCGTTTCTGTTATCCACGTTTGTTGCTTAATGCAATATCGCCAACGAGTTTAAGTTTTGTGTTCATTGTGTATTTCATATACGAATAAATAAAACAAAAAAGACTGGAAAAAGATAGGTAAGAAGCCTTCGGAATTGCGACTTTAATGAGTAACCGCGTAACATTTTGACCTAGTATTATGTATATGTTCGACGAGGTTTCTATACTTAATTAAAAAAAAAAAATTGGGGAGTGATCAAAGGAGGCTGAGGTCGGAGATACGGATCTTTTTTAGTATCCATTTTTGTTTAATAAAACAACCAAAAATGCTCGCTTACGTTTTTGAAGTAGGTAAAAAGGAAACAGAATTTTAATAGAAATAACGCACGATATATCTCCCAAAAAATTCAGCCATATGAACAACGCGAAGAAGTTAAGCAGATAAAATTTTACAAGATTTTTGGGGACAAAGTGTAAATTCGGATTGTGGAAAGTAACAGATAGAGAGAATGAGTTACCTATATAGAAAAAGAGAGACAGAAAGGTAGATTTATTTAAACGTTTCTCAATCATCCACCCATCGGAGATAATAAATAACATTCGCTAGTTTTTTTTTTGCATGTATTGAGTTAAGTTCGGAATAGAAATATATCAATAATAACAATTTAAATATGGTAATTTTTGGGGATTGTCATACGTCCGCCAGCGTATTAAAAATATGGTTTTAGGGGTTAGAACTTTTTAAGTTTCAAGAAAAAAAAACTCATGTTGAAATTTTTGTATTCGGAAGCTTCTGTTGTTTATTAATTTATAGACACTGGAAAATATAATAATAAAATATCCTACAGTTGATGATACGTGTCCTCTTAAACTTGAAAAGAGCTAATTTATCTTAGAAGAGTACGTATTTTTGGTAAAATAGATATTTTTTATATTAAATATTTGACCGATCGATGTAATTCGTCAAGCAGAAACCGAGAAGAAAAGTGACGCTTGTGCTGTTTGCTGACAACCCGACCCTGCTTTGTGTACAAATGCAATGATATTTCGGCAGGGCTATAGGCTACGAAACCTTTCAAACTCGAAAAGGACGAACAAATTTTAAAGAAAAAAGGTACTTCATTTTTGGTATAAGTAATAGATAATTTTTTTTTACGCTAAATATTCCACAGATCGATGTAACTCGTCAAGCAGAATCCGAGAAGAAAAGTGACCGGGGGTGCTGTTTGCTGACAATCCGACCCTGCTTCGTGTACAAATGCAATGCCATTTCGGTAGGGCTATAGGCTACGAAACCTTTCGAACTCGAAAAGGCGCGACTAATTTTGAATAGGTACTTAATATTGGAGTAAAAGTAATAGATAAGATTGTTTTACAATAAATATTTGACAGATCGATGTAACTCGTCAAGCGGAATCCGAGAAGAAAAATGACGGATGTGCTGTTTGCTGATAGTCCAGCCCTACTTCGTGTACAAATGCATGGCGGAGAGAGCAGAAAGTTTTCGAAACTGCGTGAGTGGAAGTCTGCGTTGGACAAATTTTGAAAATATCTGAAGGTTTAACGAATTTTGGAGAATTCGACAGAGCTACAGACTACGAAACCTTTCGAAACGAACACACGTGTCCTGTAGAACTTGAAAAAGACGAAATTATTTTTAAAAAGGTATATTGTTGCTAAATAATAGTTTTTTTTTTAATTAAAATATTTGACAGATCATGGTAACTCGTGAAGCAACATCTCAGAATTGAATCGGCGAGTTGTGTATTTGCTGACAATCCGAGCCTGCTCCGTTTAGATTTGCTTAACGAGGAATCAAAAAATCAAAAAAAAGGTTAACGATTTGGATCATTTTGGAAGATACATACGCCGCGCCTTTCAAAGCGGACAGACGTGCCCTTGTCCAACTTGACAAAGGCGGAATTATTTTAGGAAAGGTATATTATTTTTAAAAAAATATACAATTTTTTAAGTAACATATTTGACAGACCATGGCAACTAGTAAAGCAGAATCCGAGAATTCAATCGGCGGCTGTATGTTGACTGACAAGAATATAATTGCTGTTAATCCGGCCCTGCTTCGTGTACAAATGCATAGTGGGGAGACATGAACATTTTTTGAAATTGCGGCCCTATCCTCTTGGGATTCTACGTTGGACAAATTCTGAAAACGACCCCAGAAATATAATTGGTGAGAAAATAGTTTTTTTTTTGTGTGTTAACAGTTAACAATTTTTTATTTTGGAAATAAGGGGTTTCAGTATGTACTGGTATTAGTGAATCAATTTAATGTCCTCAGCATCTCTAAACCCCCTCTTGAGACGCGTTAACGATCCGGATCGAGTTACGTCGCGTAATTATGTCACTTTTTTAATTAAAAAAAAAAGGTGATGTACCTACCATACTTTAGAAACCCCTACTCCCCTTTGGAGGTGATGAAATAAGTTTTGGCATAAAATATAAGTTCCTCATATTACTTTGATATGATAAGTACAAGTCTTGCCGTTTTTTTTTTTTTAAAAGAGGTTCAAACCCGTGCGAGGTGAGCTTTCATATATGAAACAGACCAGTCATGGGGACACGAGATATGGAAAGTTTCAGCGTAGTCGTCGCCACATTGCTGCCAACACTGCATATATAAGGAATCACGAACCATTCAGGTAAAATTTTGAAAACATATATTTATGTCAATATAGAACCTCTCTTTTTTTTAACAGGAATATTGAGACTTAGACCAGTATCTTTTTAAGTCGGCATGTGGGGTAAAGAAGACGCGAAAGCTTCAGTCGTGTACCATCGGTAACGTAGGCGATTGATATATTTCCACCACTACATAAGGTGGATTGGAATTTCCCATTTGATGCTTTGACTCACTAAATGAGAAAACTTGGAGGTAAGCTCTTACGGAATTCTATGGAAATATGTTTAGTAACATATTGGTGCATTACTCTGTCTTCCAGTCAGTTTCACATAAACTTTGCACGTATTATAGAAATGCCACCTACTTTTTTTTTGTGTTAATATTATTGAAACTAGTAGCTGGTAGCTGTAGTCGTAAGCCCAGAGAGTCTCTGTTTTGAACATAATACACAAAATGGGGCGTTCAATAACTCTGATTGCTTAGACTGCATGGCTTTTAGAGTCGGCGTAAAGTATGGTAATATACCCGGATCAAATTCAGAACTAGAAAATCGTTGTGTCTCTGCATTAAAAATAATAGTAAAACTTATTGTAGGCACCTAGTAGAGTATCGAAAATTTCCATTCTTAGTGCCAAATTGGTTACTCCAGTAAATTCCAACTGTTCTAATTTTTTTTAATAATTTATGATGTTAGTGAGTTTCATTGCAATTATTTGTTACTTAAATTTTCTGCGTATTAAACCTTAATTAACAATACGCTATTCGTTAACGCAGGTAGAAATAATGACGCTGACTAACCTGATTTTGTCCAGGGGGCATAGTACGGTAGTTTGTACTGTGATGTTTGGTAGATTGGCAGTGAGCTCTCATTTATAAAACTGGGGAATGTTTCGATATGTTCAAATCGTAAACACGTATCATTAGAATTATATTTTTAAAATATTGATTAGGACATGTACTGAGTAACTAAATGCTCTAGCAAAAATATTCACACATATTGCGGAAAATGTACAAATTTATATTAGAGAAAATTAAATATTTTTAGAGGTTGGTTTTTCAAAAAGGCAGGGATTTAGTTAAAGAACAGATATAGACTAAAGGGAAGCTCTATGAGAAAAGTTAGAATTAAAAAATCGATGTTTTCATGTCATAGCGAAAGATGGATTATTATTAAAAATAATACTTGTATTAATTGTTGTCACCATTTGTGAAAAATATGGAAAATATCCTCTAGGTTCGCATACCTTTTTTTTAATTTTTTTAAGGTGGCTAACAAAATACACAGATAGAAAAGTTCAGATCCTGTTCGTTAATGTAGCGCATAGAAAAAAAATTAGAAAAGAAAACGTTTCGTGTATGGCATACGTAGTTAGTACGGAATATTAATTTGAAGGCTGCAAGACAGTGAAGGAGTGATGCGCTTAAGTGTGGTTCAGAGAGGTTATTTGGGCTGTAGAAATTTTTCTTTGAACGGGGTTCAAATAGCGTCTCCTAGAGCGTTAGCAGAGAAGAGTATTACAGTATTTAGTATAAGCATACAGATTTCATTATTGTTGAGATTGCCATAGAAACACACTTTCATGTAGTAGTCGCAGCAGCTTTAAAGTATATGACTTTTTAGTTAAGATGCCTTTCGAGTTTGTTTCAGGGGTTGATAGGAAATTAAAGGATAGATACGAAGTTACGAAAAAAAGAAGTATGTACACTATCCTCAAAGATCAGCAATAAATAAAAGAAATTGATGAAATACTAAAGTTGACTGCGATATCTTAAAATCATTAATAAGATAGATAAAATAATTTTGAAAATATTAAATAATAAAAACAAATAATAAAATAGCAAAGAAAACCAAAATCATCAATAAGATAGATAAATTAATTTTGTAAATATTAAATAATAAAAATAAAATCGTAATAGCAAAGAAAACCTACCACGGCCACATACACATAATATTTTCGACATATGAACTTTTCCCAGATAAATAGTTAAATATCTCACGATACCTTAAAACAGAAGAATGCGGAAATATGTATGAAGTTAACGCACGGTAGATGGCTTGGTAAATTAATAATGTATATGGTTTCTAATATCCTACTTTATTAATGAAAATTTTAACCATGTTTTTGTTTTTGCAGATATTATTGGTGGTGCCTGCCAGCTTCCAGTTCCGAAAAAAGAAATCCAACACTTTTCGTCTTTATTTCCCCTGTCCTTTGTGCGCAATAGTAAAAAGTACAGTTTGTACCCGCGAGGGTAACATTCGCAGAACCATATGTTTTTAAAATAAATGTTTTGGTCAATATTCACTAGGTGGCGTTACCTTATTAAAGAAAATCTTATTTCAAGAGGGGACACTAGTTTACATTCGAACCGCTAGAGGGTGTAGATGGTCACGCGAACAATATGATCAAGTCTCATTGACGCCATTGCTTTTCTTACGGGTGGGAAAATATCTGGGCTCTGTTGGCTTCGCCGCCATCGCAAACTAGAGGAGGGGGATTGATTAAACCCCACATTTCTGGTTGCTTATCCAATGGGGGCCAGTTTCAAGGGATTATGGGTAAAGGGGAGGAGCTAAGAGGGGCACGGGGAAGGAGGACACGCCCACAAAAGGGAGAGGAGTGGGGGAAACCTGAAATGTCCCAAAAAACTACTTACCGACACGTTGCCCTGGGGCTATCAAATATAATTTTGGAACATTAACTTTTTATTCATTCAATACCATTTTTTATTTTAATTAATAAAGCAACTTCACTAGCTCAAAATCTCAGCAGAAGGTGGACCAACTTATTTCTTAGGTAAGGATATTATTCTTTTCAAAATCATATATAATTTAACTGAATATATTTTTACCCGCAGTTGTTAAGAAAAGAGACACAAAAAGTCGATAGGGATGCCGATACCAGTCAAATTCGAATTATGTCACGACCCATCCCTACGCCCATAGGAAGAAGATGCTCAGCTAGATTTTGCCGTGGCAGCTTTTAATCACATAGAACTGTTCTTGCGCTTATTTGTTAGTTAATCAGTTGAATACGCTCTTGCAGTAAACTATTAATTTTGTAGTTTTGAAAAATAAAGTTTTTAAAAAGCGACTTTCGGTTTCCTGTTAGAAAAGTTGCGCAGTCGTAGAATTTTCCGAAGTTTGTCGAATCGATCGGTAGACTTTTCGTATCTACGATTTATCGGAATATTGGAATTTGTTGAGTGACTGGTGTAGGTGTTTAAGAAGATTTATCGAAACCTGTCGGAGACATTTCATCAGCAGCTCATCGGAAATTAGTTCTCAAATCGTTCCGGTTTCGCAAGGAGGCAGAAATTTGGTAGGAGCGCATCGCCAACCTGAGAGACTGTCCCTTATAGAAAATGACCAGAGTCGCATTATTTTTTTATGTAAGTGTAATTTTTAATGTCCGTAGAAGACTTCGCCTATATTTTATCTGATTTAAAAATCGTTTCAACTGACTCACACAGTAGTAGTAATCAAAATATTTCTATCGAAAACAGTATAAGAAATAATTTATATACAGACATGGCTAATAATTTTAAACCAGAACACTTAAACTGTGTATCAACTTTCGATGGGAATGCTAATGATTTAAATTGATGTCTTGCTACTTGTGATAGCCTTATTACGGCATTTTACGATGAAACTAATTAATTGATTAATTGATTAATTAATTGCCTTATTGGAAAAGTTGTTGGCACAGCCAAATTAGTAGTAAATATACAGAATGTATCGACTTGGGAAGATCTAAAAGTCACTCTTGTAAGGAATTCTGCGGATCAACGTGATTTAGTTATGCTACGGCAGCAAGCTAACGAATCACCCAACTAATTTTATGATAAGGTATTATATATTCTAAATCTTCTTTGTTCGTACGTTGATAACCATGAACAAATTTATATACAGACCTTGCCTTAAAAATATTTTTATCAGGGCTTAAAGAGCCTCTAGGTACGAACATACGTTGTGTGCGCCCATCAAGTCTTGCTGAAGCTTTGCAGTTCGTCAATGATGAATACAACAATCAATACTTCCAAAATTACTCTAAAGCACCTAAACCGCCGATGGAAAATGTAAGACCTTCAAAGCAAATACTACAAGACTCTTCTGTAAGAGCAAATTTTAGGCCAAATGCTCTATATAATTTTAATAGTCAAGCGCCAAATAATCTCTTTGGAAGCCAACATTATTTTCCCTCGCAACCAATAAGCATACAACCGAGTAGATAATCTCCTTTTTTTTTGTAATAAATCTAGACTTTGCTAATGGTTATTTATACACCCCATATACTAAAATTAAACTACTCTATCGAAATACAAACAAAAAATGTTAACCCCAATCAATATCAGCCCTCCATGCGAACAAATTATCAAAATAAAAACATCTATAAAAAACGGTGAAATTATTATTCCCTATCAAAAAATTGGAAATTGTGAAATCCCCGAAAGTTTATCTATTTCGAAAAATGGTGTACGTCGTATCCTTAACCAATGTTTTAAACAACTCGACAGAAGAAGTTACCATCGATTTTTCGGAACCGTTAGTTGTAGAAGAATTTAAAAGGGAATTCTTACAACAAATCGACCTAAATAATATTTGCGAATTTTCTTATAATCGCAAACCAAAATTTGATATCTCTGAAACAACCCTAGTGGTTAGTTTTGGTTAGTTTTTTATTAGTTATGGTTAGTTTTCCCCTCAGGGGCTCACCCTGTGAGCACGGGCATAGCGAGCCCGAGGTACCCTAGCTGGGGCTCCACCTCTTCCCAGGACCTGAGCCCAGTCCACAGCTTCTTTCCCCTTCAACCATCCCATTCCGACGCTATTAGGGTACCCGGGGGCTAGGAATATCCAACTCTTTCCCTTTCCAAAGCATGGATTATCGATGACGACCCGACGAAAATAAAATTATGTGGCATAAAACAACGGAACAGTTACCCCAGGCGAGTCACAGTCTCGCCGTCGATTCCGATTGGGTGAAAGCCCCGGTGGTCGACGCTGGCCCCACGGATTCTGGGGGGGGAGGGCCTCTCACACAACATCGTGGGAGAGACCGATACTAGACCAGCACGCAAGGAAAGCTTGGTTAGCATTGGTGACCTAACTCAAGAGGAAGATCTGATTATGGGAGGATTGCTTAGACCAAGC